TGTTTACACACACAGACACACACAGACAGAAAGAGAGAAGAGAGAGAAGAGACAGAGAGAGAAGAAATCGAGCTGGTGCCACAAGCGTTGATGTAGCCTGAGGAGTACTCCACCATGGGACTCCACCAAGGACGTCTGTCTGTCTGTCTGTCTGTCTGTCTGTCTGTCTGTCTGTCTGTCTGTCTGTCTGTCTGTCTGTCTTTTTCTTTCTTCCTTTATTTCTTCCTTTATTTATTTATTTCTGTCTGTCCATCCGTCTGTCTGTATGTATGTCTTTTTCTTTCTTCCGTTCTTTCTTTCTTTCTTTATCTATTTATGTCTGTCTGTCTGTCTGTGTCTGTCTGTCTGTCTGTGTCTGTCTCGGTGTCTGTCTGTCCGTGTCTGTCTGTCTGTGTGTCTGCCTCTGTGTCTGTCTCTGTGTCTGTCTCCGTGTCTGTCTGTGTGTCTGCCTCTGTGTCTGTCTGTCTGTGTCTGTCTCTGTCTCTCTCCTTTTGTCTGTCTCTGTTTGTCTGTCTGTGTGCCTGTCTGTGTGTGTGTGTGTGTGTGTGTGTTTGACTGAAATGGGTGGGTGGGTGTGTCTGTGTGTCTGTCTTTGTATGTGTTTGTGTGTGTTACAAGTTCCACACAAGTGCGGGGTTGTCCATAAAAGCTGGCGTGCCCATGGATGGTAAATCGTTTGAAGTGCAGTTACATGGTGGACCATCATTGTCCTCCCTCGTCCACTTGAGCATATGAAGCGCCATAGAGCAACATGCCGGGTCTCCCAGACTTCCGAGGGGAACCTGGCTAGTGCCAGGGGTGGGGCCTCAGTCAAATCGTGCGCACGTTGAACCCTTGAAACGCGAGGTCATGTTCGTACTTAGCCCGTGCACTAGTGTACGCCGGGCATTTCACAAAGGCATGCATTTCGCCTTGAACCGCCCTGCAGTCACAAAGCCTGCAGGTGCGTGCTGTGTGCTCACAGCTGTTAGGTTGGTCATGACGTTGATCAATCTCTAACTCCCAACAGCCTGTTACCCGGAAGCGTTGAGTTGACAGTCCTCGCCGAGGCAGGAAGGAGACCAACCCAGCGGCAAGCACTAGTCTACATAGACGCGTATACGAAAACAATCTATACAGTGGCGGCGGAGTCTTGAACTCCGAACACCTAGTATTCGTGATACTTCAGTGTCTGGCCAGAGCACCCCGCCCGGGTAGCTAATATATCTCGGCCTACCTGCCGGAGATTCCCTACCATGGTCCTGCCGTACTAGGATAATGTCGGTGGGGCCCGGGGCCCCAGCCCGTTAGGTTTGCTACGAACAACCGCCATT